ATTCTTTCCGAATACAACTTTATGATACACTTATTTTCAACAATCGCGCTAAAACAAACGGTATATCAACGAACGTCAATAATACTTCTGACTGCAGTTCAATTACTCACTATCTTCACACACACATTACATTATTCTCCCGTCACGTTGTCACCCTCTTTTATATACCAGACTACCCTATATCTAGTAAATACTAGAGCATTCTCCAAAGTACAGGATAGTTCTAGAAAGTAGAGGGCGTAAGAATAGTCACGTGATCTCGATGACGCAACAATATCCTTTAAATTTCAATGAAATAAAATAAAGATACGAAAAGCGCCATACGAGAGCGTCTACTGCAGTAATGCGATCTTAAGCCTAACAGTTGAGGAAAAATTTGTTTTGGTATGGTTAATTAAACTGGATCTTTTTTTCTTTGTACCAAATATATAAAAAAAAACACTCAGTAAACTACTACAACATTTCTTTACTGAACTGTAGCTTTATTGCTTTGTTTTATTTTCACATTTGTAGTTTTCATGTCAAATAAACTATTGAACTTTCAGAAACTTGTTTTTCAGTCATATTGCAGATTTACTGTGATGCAAAATACATTTACAGGAACTCGATTTATTTTCCCATTTTACTTCCGAACTACTGATATATGTGCATAACAAACATTCTGTTTATTTCCCTCTCTCAGAGAGACCAAATCGCAAAGGCTTTTGACAAGGGCTAACAATGACATCCAAAGACACTTCAGTCGAGGAAGAGTATTTCAAGCCACTAGTCTATTCATCGCCACCTGGGATAACGTAGGACATTTTGACCAAAAAACAAGCTTAGTAAGTTACAGCATGCTATTATTTGTATTCTTGTAGGCTATGTCTTTATGTATTATTTTATTATTTATTGTTACTTGGCCCTAGAGGGAGTTTTCACTTATGTAATAGGCTTGTCTTAATGACTAGAATATTTTGAAAGTTTGAGAAACATTTTCAGCAGAGTAAAATGCCAGTTAGGCTTGAGACAGAGGATTGACTATATTGTTACTTATCTGCTTGTTTGTTAATTTCCTGTATAAATTCTTTCCGAGGAACTTCAGCGATACAAGTCCCTTCTTGATTAAACCAGTTTTTTCTTTCTCGATACAAACTTTTAGTACACAGTAAATCCACAGTCTCGATAACTTTTCTCTCTACGAGTACAAATTCACACTTTATGTTACCGTCACTACTGTTCGCTTCTTTAATTATCTATCTCTTGTAGGCAGATTTTGTTAAACAAGACCGATGTCTTTTTAGGTTTACTTTCTTCTCAGAATTCTTCTCAAGAAGTCGATAAGCCGTCTTAACGTTGTTAGAACAACGGGTAAAAGTTGTAGCTAGCGATGAGTTGGCCGACGCGTTTCGAATGCATTCTGCATCCATTATCAAGGCTGAATGTTGTGTGAATTGTGATTACTGTTGGTGGATATTTATAGGTATGGGTAAGCAGGTGGTGGTATCTAGCTCGTGGAAGGCGTTAATTGGTGGAGTGTTGTATTGTGGCTTATGCTCTGTAATATAGTTTCAGGTGAACCTCTCTTGATTCTGGTAAAAAATAAATGAATCTGAGAATACAAAAGAGAACATGTGAGGGGAAAATTTTGTATCATGTTCTCAAGATCTGTTATTGTGGGGTGTCTGCTTTCCTAGGGTGAGTGATCTTCTAATCCCTAGAGTTATTTAATCAGAGCTTTGCATGTAAGGAAATGCATATTCCACAAGTTAGAAGTCCTATAACCTGGAGGAAGTGTGTTATGCATTTTCTGTATTTATATTTTAAAGTCGAATTATTCAAAAGGTTTTGTTTAGTCCAAGTCTATAAAGGTTTCATTTAAACATATGGCCCAGAAAACTGTTGATTTTGATCTAGGTACTTTTGTTCATTTGCTGTTTTCTGGAGATAGTACCTGCTCCACCCATGGAGATATTGTTGTAACGCTTCTACTACAGCAGTGTCCTTCACTGGTAAAACAGATGATGCCTAAAAGTTACAGCCTTCCCCATGTTAATGAGATTAATTAGTCACGTGGATAGCACTAGCTGCTATGGGTAAATCTGATGTTTCCTGTTAATTAAGGAGTGTTATGTTCAAACAATTCTACAAGGTATCTAAGTAAATTGATCGATGGGAAATATCCTAAGGGAAAAGCTAATTAATCAATTCACCAATCCAGCAGAAGGCAACCATCCAGTGTCCAATGTAACTATAAACACTATATTTTGTGTCTTTGATCTAAATGTAGCTCGTCATTTTGCATTACCTATCTGTCTAGTCTCTATTTTTTAACTTAAAACTCAGTCAGCTTAATTAAGTTTAGATTTACTTTGTAATTCGTTTGTAGTGAAGCACAGAAATACACACTGGGCTATCTGTGCTTTCCCTGCCACGGGTATCGAAATCTGGTTTTTAGTATTATAAGCCTTAAGATTTACCACTGTTCCATTGAAGAGTTACTTTGTAATTTAT